CCGGGGGGGCCGAGGCGCCGGCCAAGTTCTTCGGCCAAGCTGGGAAAAACCAACAGCGGCCGCTTATTCTCTCCGGCTTTCGTCTCGTGACTGCGCGTCCATCGGGGAGGGGAGCGGCAGGAAGGAAACCTTTTGATGCCTCGCACCCCGACGCTCGGCTTTTGATATCTCACCTTCATATCGTGCCCTCATCTTTTATGCTTGGCCTCGATACAACCCGAGACGGTTTGAAGCCTCGCACGCTCACTCTCATTTTTTTTTTTTTTTAAAAACACGCTGCGTGCCGAAGCTTTTTAGGCACGAGAATGACGATGCGAGCGCAGACTACTTTCCGTTACCAAACTGTCAGATGAGTCGCGGTTGAGACAGGCGCAACACGATCCCAAACACGGTAGACCAGACTTGCGCTGGCACGAAAATGGAGTGACGCCAATTTTGACGCCCGGCGCACAGGCATCATTTTACCAAGTGTTGACTAGCAGCAACCTTTATCGTCGAAAACAGTTACCTCGGCTTTTGTTTTGGTTTAGCTGACGGAAATGTTGGTTCCTGTCGTTGTTTTACTGTTGACACGACAGGTGAATTGAACTGTTGCCATTTGGAGACATTGGTAAATATCGCCCTGTGCGAATATACAGCCGACGTGCATTTCGAAACATTTGACTCAAGAGTAACAAAAGGGGTCCAAAGATTAACCCCTGAGGGACCCCATATTTCATGGTCATTCAGCCGGACAATAAACTGCCAATGGTCACAAAGTCACTCCTTTTCCTTCAAGTAAGACCTGAACTCTTTTCGGACTGTTCCCCTCAGTATATTATGATGGAGTGTCTCTAAATCTGCACTGCGATCCAATAAGCCGAGCGCAGACACCTTTTGCCTAATGTGGCTTGTTCAACAATTTGGGTTGCCGACCCCTTTGATGCCTCTCATCCCACCCAAACCTTTTAATGCCTCGATCATAACCACGTAATGCCTCCCTTTGTCCCTCGACCTGTCACAATGACGAGCAGTTTAAAGCGCCGCTCGAATATATTTCTTCGCAGTTGGAAGAGGAAGAGCCGCGGGCGTGCGCCAACCCGCCGCGGCCAAAACACACAAACAAACGTGCGAGTGCAAGCGGGAGACAGGCCGCGACACCATCTTGGGTCGGGACACGGCGACGCAGAAACACGTAAACACGACGCAGCTGCCTCGCCGATCCTCGCTGACCTCGCCGCAGACATTCGTTATGTCACGACGGCCTTTGATATTCCTGCTGATTTCTTCTGGCCGGCCCATCTGCCGTTCGCACAAATGCACCAAACTTTGTCCGGCTGCGGTCTCCGGTTTTGTTATTCCGTCTCTCCGATGCGGCTGCCGTGCGTGCGACGTGTCGCCTTCATCGATCTATTCAGCTCGGGCTGCAGCTTGTGCACTGCGGCCGCAGATGTGCCGAGTCATCAAATGCCGCTCGATCGCGACGGCAGCGCGTGGCCGGTGGCGTATGGGAATGGTCGGATGCAGAGCGCCCATGACGTCCCTGTTTATTTTCAATGCTTTGTTAGATGGACCCCCCCCCCCAAAAAAAAGAAAGACATTGACTGAGGAGGGGTCCATTAGGGCAGTCAAGTCACTTCCTGCGTTGTACATCAACTCCAATCACAGACATCCTGCCGTCATCTTAGTTCAGCGAGTCCGCTTTATCATATCTGCTGATTTGAATGATAACATCCTGCCGTCATCTTAGTTCAGCGAGTCCGCTTTCTCATATCTGCTGATTTGAAAGATAATACCGTATTTTCCGCACTAAAAGGCGCACCTAAAAGCTTTCCATTTTCTTAAAAGCTCACAGCGCGCCTTAAAATCCGACGCGCCTTGTGTATGGTCATTACGGTAACATTTCAACCCCCAAAATGGCTCCTTGCTCGAGACATGCTGACAACGCAGAGTTCAAACCTAACGCAGTTGAACACGGAAATAGAGCAGCGGCAAGAGGCTGCTTTATGAAATGCGTTTTACTGACGTCTGATCGTTCTGTTGGTGTTTCCTTGAGCATAGCTCCATCTAGTGGCTGCATTGTAGATTGCGTCTTTTAAAGCGGTGCGTCCAATATATGAAAAAAAAATGACAAAGTAGTAGGCTATTCATTGAAGGTGCGCCTCATAATCCGGTGCGCCTTTTTAGTGTGGAAAATCCGATACATCATATTTATACCGCACTTTTCTAGACACTCAGAGACACTTTACAATAAGCAGGTAGCGATCGAGGTCTCCGCCTTCCCGTGTTTTCTAAGGAGAACATTTAGCATTTGAAAAGCAGGAATCGGAATCTGTGTCAAACATGTCTTGGAACGATGACACAAAACGTTGCTTTCAATGTACCTGAATCCATTTACCCAGATGTGTTTGGGGGAGATTTTGCGATGGGATAATGAAACTATGCCAATGGCGAAGCACGCCGGTGACTTAGACGAGGTGGAGGGAAATTACGGTTTAACTTTGAAAGAGATCATTTTCGTTTTCAATTCATATCTAATTTTATTGTTCCACTCCCATCGGCATTCCGTGGGGACAGCAAAGTTGATAGCACAGGGGAAACCCGTTTCGTACAACCTGAAGCTTGAACATAGCGTGCGGACGGAGACGTGACACTTTTGCGGAGTCCGACTTTGCTTTCTGTCTCGCGCAGGCATCACAGAGACCATCGCCCAGCTGGCCTCGGGCTGGGTGACCGACCGCAACCTGTTCCACAAGTATCACTACCACAAGGCTTACTTGATCCTCTGCGGCCTGGTTAACCTGCTCTCCCCGCTGGCCACCTCCTACATCCTGCTCATGGTCTACGCCGTCTTCTTTGCCATCTTCTGCGGCGGCTACATGGCTCTACTGCTACCCGTTCTGGTCAGACGGCAACTTTTGTCAACACGCGTCGCCTTCTATTGTCCAAAAAAGTCCATCGAAAGGGAAATGTCGTTGTTCAAGCTAGGCTACAGCCGCACATTTGTGGAATTTATTCTCATGTCCTCTCCACCCACGTTGGGTGGCGCGAGCGAAACAATTTAGCGTGGCTAGCTGCTAACTGTGCTTATGGTTGGGGCTTGGTCATAGTTTGGCAAATGATCACTCCAATGGCTCTTTCAAGCTAAAAATAATGGCAAGTGAATTTGTGAACATTTGGCAACTGTGTGAATGGAACTTTTTTTTTTTTTAATGTTTAAAAAAAAAAAGTCACTTTTCTTTTCCGCTGTACCTTCCCGGCAGGTGGATCTGGTGGGGGCAGAGAAACTGAACAACTCCATGGGCTTCTCCATGTTCTTTGTGGGCCTGGGCTGCCTCACGGGTCCTCCTCTGGCAGGTAAGTCACCCACCGGACCTCCCCCACATTCCCACTGACAGTCGACCAATTTCTATACATGCCCCCCCCCAAAAAAAAAAAAAATCCCTGAGGGAAGATACACCAGTCCGTCAATGTTTCAGGCCGACCCACATGGGCTCAGATCATGCCGGCCAATCGGCATCGAGAATGTAATTTGCACGGCACACACAGTCACCAAATAAAAACCAAAATGGTACACGTATCATTGAGGTCTGTGGGACTGAAAGGGAGCAGTTTTGCTAATCAAAGACTTCATTTGATGAGCAAATTAGTCGGATTACACCCCCCCACCCCCAAGGTCATCCGAAAGTCCTGAAACAAGGTTTTTATGAAATGGAACTCAACTGGACTGTATTTCTCGAGCACGTTACTTATGGTTGGGGCTCGGACATAGTTTGGCAAATGACCAGCACTGGCATTCACTCCAATGGCTGTTTCAAGCTAAAAATTATGGCTAAAGAAATTGTGAAAAACAGTGTGAATAGGAATTTTTTT